GGGGAACCGCATGTCAGTCCAGCCAGTGGGGCATTGGGTGGAGCCCCCTACGGGGCCGAAGCGCGTGAGGGGTGTGCTGGAGTGGGCGGAGAACCGCATGCGAGTCGAGCCACTGGGGCCTCAGGTGGTGCTTGCTGTGGGGCCACGAAGAGTGTGAGTGGTGTACCGAAATCGACATGCGGAGGGCAGGGGCGGGGGTGGGACGAAGGAGGGGCGGGAAGGGAAAGGAGGTGGTGACGCGGGGCGCTGTCTCAACATGAGGACCCAGCATCACAATATTCTTCGCACGGTGTCAGAGGAGCACGGCTTAAGCCTCAGTCGTCGATTACCCCCCCACACTCCGCCGCAAGCGCGGATCGAATTGGGCTCGAGGAAGCTGCAGACACACAGTAAGTCAACTGCAAGTTGGCTGCCTTGAAATATCTCACTGCATGCTGAATTCAGAGCCTCGTCGCCATGCACGACGCGGATCGCGCGGTTCCCAGAACACTGCGCGGCAATTCGGGCGAAGCCTCCCGCTTGGAGGCTCCGGAGCCTCTGGGCTCCTCCCCCCTCATCCTCCCTCCCCCACTCTTCCTCCCGCTCCTCCTCCAACTCCCCCGCATCCTCCTCCTCCTCCTCTTCCTCCTCCTCCTCCTCCTCCTCCTCCTCCTCCTCCTCCTCCTCCTCCTCCTCCTTCTCCTTTCCCTCCTCCTCCTCCTCCTCCTCCTCGTCCTCCTCCTCCTCTTCCTCCTCTCCCTCCCTTCCTCCCTCCCTCCCTCCCTCCCCCTTCGCTAAATATCCCTGTTCCTCATCGTCGTCATCCCTTTACCCCTCCGTCCTCCGTTCTCCTCCTCCCCTACTCGAAAAGGGGGGGGGGGACAGGGATGACGACGATGAGGAACAGAGATAATTAGCGAGGCGTGACGAGGGAGGGAGGGAGAAAGGGAGGAAGGAACAAAGGGAGAGAGAGAGAGAGAGAGAGGACGAGGAGGAGGAGGAGGATGAGGAGGAGGAGGAGGAGGAGGAGAGAGGAGGAGGAGGAGGAGGAGGAGCAGGGCGACGGCGCCGACGACACGGACGACGACAAGAACGAGGACAGGGACGGATGGCGTCCTTCTCCTCCTACTCCTCCTCCTCCTCCTCCTCCTCCTCCTCTTCATCCTTCTCCTCCTCCCCTCCCCTCTCTTATCCTCCCCTCCCCCTCCCCCCACCTTCAAGTAACAGGTGGCAACCTCGGGCAAGTTCCACAAGTCTCACCTCCGAAGGCCTCCCCCTTCTCCTTTAAGGGGCCCCCCTGGGGCGTTCTCTGACCAAGATGACTAGGCTACCCCCCCCCCCAAACACTGGAGGCACAAAAGCACAAAGCGGGGGCGAAGCGTGAAAGTCCCCCCTCCTCTCGCCGTCTATGGCCGCCCTGAGGATCCAAGGCCCCAGGAACAGCCAATCAGACTCTCCAGAAGCCAAAGGACAGCCCCAAAGGCACATAATCAGCAGGTTACTTCACAGACCACCTTTCGGGTGATAAGGAGGTTCTGGGGGCGAGCTTGCATTTCGATGTGCGTTTCGATTACCATGGGATTTGTACATACATGTGCACTTAGACTTGCATTTCGATTTGCATTACGACTGCGATTGTATTTGCATTCCGATGTGCATTCCGATTGCATGTCGATGTGCAATTCGATGCGCGCTCCGATGTGACTTCGATGTGCACACAGAGCTGCATCGTGTTCATGATGAGTTATAGGTATGCCTGCAGGTCGATGTGCGTCTCGTTGTGCACTCCTATGTTCAAATCCATGTATTGTTCAACGTGTCGCTCAATTGCAATATACATTATCTTGCGATATGACTTGACCTTGCAAGGTGATTCATATTCAGATGTGTATCTCGATTACGTTTGTCATGTCAATGTTTTTGTATGTTGGCAATTATTCCCATATCTGCATGTCGATTCGATGCTCGACTTGAACTTGACATGCACTTGGAAGTATATGTCGAGTTGTAGTCAGGTGTATTCAGACGGTCGTTCCGATATGCATGTTGATTCGAATCTCGATGTGAATTCCGATTTCAGTGTTTTGATGTGCATGCCGATCTGGTTATCCCACGGGACAACCGTGGGGCAACCCGCGGAACAACCACGACACAACCCAGAGAAGAACCACTGGACAGCCCACGGGACAACCGCGGGAAAACCACGGGAAAACCTCAAGACGCCCCACCAGACGACGCATGGGACCAACCACAAAGACAACCTGCGGGACCACCCGCGGGACAACCCACCAGGACAATCCGCGGGACCACCCGCGGGACAACCCACGAGGACAACCCTCGGGACCACCCCCGCGCCCCACCGGAGGGGTGGCGCGTTCTGCCTGACCTGGCCCTCGGCCGACACGTCACCGCCCTCGCGCAGCTCCGCTCCGCCCCGCAAACGAACGGCACGGACCGAGGCCGAAGGCGGCGTCCCTGCCGGGGCCCTTCGTTCTCGCCCTCCCGACCCAGAGGATCGGAGCCCTCCGTGCTGGAGGTCGGATCTCCATCCTGGCTCATGCTCCGCGCTGAAGGTCTCTGATCCTCAGGGGAGCTCTGATGACTGTGTGCCTGACTCTGGAGGGTCTGCTTCGCTGCTTGTGGGCCCCCTTGGGCCCTCAGGGCGGCCCTCCCCGCTCCAGCCACGACTCGAAGGCCTCACGAAAGAGGAGGTTGGCGAACCTGCTGCGCATTCGACCGCTTTTCCCGGCGCCCCTGCAGACCAGATCCGAAGATTACGTGTTCGACCATGGGCCCTTTGTTACCCATCAGCCCTGGGCGGTATTCGGCGGTCTTCCGGCGACCTTCAGCGGTCTTCGGCGGTCTTCGGCGGTCTTCTGACGGTCTTCCGCGGTCTTCGTCGGCTTCTGGCGTTTTTTCTTCTGGCGATTTCCTGAGGTCCTCGGCGCGAAAGCTGGATGGCTGCGGGCTCACAGGGGTCCATAATCGAGCACCTAACGAAGATGGTTCCCGTGGGCAAGGGCGCGGCAGCAAAGGCGCGGCAGCTTGGGCGCTGAGATCCGGCGCTGCGAAACAAGGCCAACATATCGCGGAAAATCACGACCGGGGCCCTGGAGCCCACCTTTCCTTTTTCCCCCAACGACGGTAGAAGGAAACAATTAGTGTGCACTCCCCCTCCAACACCCACCTCGAAGTTGGCACGCGCGGAGGAGACTGCGGTCGAAGTGCAACTCATCAGACCCACCGCCAACTTTGAATATCGGGGGGAGGGGGAGGTGTTGACCGATGAATGTGGCATGCGTGTTCGGCCTGAATGGAGGCTTCACAACTGATACAACCACCATGCGTCTGAGCTCCGTGAATCAACACGTAGACTTGACGTGAAGAAGACGGTGCGCGCCCCTGGAGCCCACCCTTCTGCAGCATCTCCCGGCCCGGCCGGATCGATGCGTGATGGTCCTGGGCTCCGACACGGGCCCAGCGAAGGGCCTGGGGGCGGCGGCCGGTGAAGGGAACAGAGGACGGAGTTCCGGCTCCCGCTTTCAATCGTTAAGGGCTTGAACCACCTCTGCCGTCCCTCGACTCGCGCCAGAGCGGCCAATATTTGCTCAAATGGCGTATGGAGATCTCTGGACTTCCCAAGATTTGCCTGGATCTACCTCGACTTACCTGCATTCACATTGCTTTATCCGGCTTCATCCCCACAGGTCGGTAGGCGAAAAGTCGTTAAGCACTTAGGGATTCATCCCGGTTTCCATCAAGGGAGGAAAAAACATTCCGACCCCGATAATAAGCGTTCACTAAACGGCCCTGGGCGTTGACTAAACAGCCCTTCCCTGTTCGATTCCTTCCTTGGGTGCGTTCACTACATTGTCATGGCTTCGCTTGGTGGGGTGCTGATTATGGCGGCGGATTTTCTGCTATCCATTCCAGACTCCGTTCCCCGCCTGCTGCCTTCCGCCTTCCGCCTCTGGGGGGCGCCAGGACGGCGGCCACGTGCCCGGGGGTGTGCACGGCGCCGCGAGCCACAGCTGGCTGCACGCAGCAACACACGTCGTACCCCCGGCTTCGCCGCCCACCCCCCCTTTCCGCCCGCCCCGTCCGCCCACCAAAATCCGCTCCAGGTCGGTCCCTCGACCCCTCCCGGGGACCCCGCCGCCTCTCCCTCCCTCCCGGGCCGCTGACTTCTGCCCCCTCCCCTGGGGGCCCGGCACGGGCTTCATCGGGGCCGAGAATGGCGGATGAGCCCCAGGTCGGAGCGGAGGGCCCCAGGAGACGGCGGCTGCGGCGGCGCCGTCTGCAAGTGAACCCAGGAGGCCACCTTTGAGAGGGCTCCAGGACATCCTCCGATGCGATGTTCTTCAATCCAGGGCCCCAGCCGACCCCCTCCCCGGGCCTGGTTCTGCGCCGCGGATCTATTTTTTGTTGATGGTCTCGGAGTCAGGTGAAGGGGCTCGGGAGGCCAGAATCGAGGAAAAACACCGAGGGCTGGATGCGATGTCGTGACTTTCCCATGCGCGACCACCGGAATGCCCGACCCTTTTTCCCCAGGGCCGGCCTGCCGTCTGGGGCCATGTTTCGACGGTCCCATAGGGTCCAGCGGGGGTCCCCCGAGGCCGAAAGTGGCCAAAGGCCTCCCGTCGTCGTCTGTTCGCGACGCGAGCATGTCTGGGTCGTCGGAGATCTGGGGCTCGGGGACGCAAGGACACTGGGTCAGCGGCAACCCGGGTCGGCCATGGATCCCCCGCCGCGAAGCCGGGCCGGCCGCCCAGTACAGCCCAAAAGCCGGGTCAGCGGAGGGCGGACCGAGAGGGGGAGTCGCGCCCCATGTCCGGGGATTGCTGAAAGTGCCCCCTGGCCCAAGTCGCCCCCAGCTTGTCGCTTAACTTTGGTCCCTGGGGGCCCTCTGAGCCTCGTGGTGGGGTGCTCTGGAGGCCGTGGGGGGCTCCTGGGAAATCCTGGGGGCACCTTGGGCCAGAGGCACGCTTAGCAACACCCGACACGTGGCTCCCAACCGCGGGTCAGCCGGAGGGGATTGGCTGACCACAGTTGGCGCTGACCCCCATGACGGGCGCCCCGATTGGACCACGGCCCTCCTCCCCCTGGCCAGAGGGCGGCACCGTCAGCGCAGCATGTCCAAAGATGTCCAAGCCAGCGCCGCCGCGGCGCGCTGGCGAGGGGCAGCGATAGGGGGGCATGTCATAGGGGGGAAACATCGACCTGAAATCGGCGATGCATCGCCGAGAGATCGGCGATGGGCACCAGATAATTAGTGAGTGCGCACGTTCCTGGGCGGGGTGGGGCTATCAGAACCCCATCGGAGATCAATGGGCGATTGGGGGTCGATGCATCCCCCCCCCATGCCTAATCCCCCCCCGTACGGGAGGTTCGCGCGGCGTCGGCGCACGCGAAGGTGCTTGACACCGCCTCGATCGTTCAACCTTGACCCGATCGCGGCCCCGATCGTACAAGGCTGAATCCCGTCGGGTCCAGTGTCGTTACCGCGTCACTCGGTGTTCCCGCGTCGCTCCATCCTGCGGAATTTCGGGATTCGACCTTGAACGTCTTTGCTGGCGTCGCCGGCGCGCCAACGCCGCATGAACCTACCGTACCGTTGCCCCTGAGCTGGCGCCGTGTCCGGGAGCGGTGGCCCCGGCGGGGCCGCGCGCCCCGACGAGGGGCAGTCCAACCTGCCCCAACGTGCACAGGGCACGGTGGCGGACGGCACCGTCTTTTCGGCTCTGCAAGCCTGCCTCCGCGAAGGCAGGGCACGAGCTTCCCGGCATCTCGAGGTTGCGCGAGGTAGGGATTGATCCATATCCACCGACCGGGAACCGACGTCCTGGTGCCCCAGCGGGCGGTGGATATGGATATATTTCGGCACCCGGGGGCCCGAATATGTCCATATCCACCGCCTGCCGAGGCTTGACCCTCCAGGCCGAGGTCATGTATAAATTCCCGCCTCGGAAGGTTGACTCTCTTCGGCGGCGAGCGAGGGGGGGGGAACGAGAAGGAGAAGCCCTTCTCGGAAGGTGGCGGGACTTCTCAGAAGCCCTCGCGCCTTCCGACAAGTATTTTGTTTTTCCCGTCTTCGGGGGAGGCTCAGAAAACCTCTCAGAAGGCCGGAGGACTTCCGAACCCTCTGAGAAGGTATTCTCCTTCTCACCTCCCCCCGTCGCTCGCCGCCGATCTCTCGAACCTGCCCTCAGCGCAGCATCCTCAGGCCGCGGCCTGGCCCGCGCCCCCCCCCCCCCCTGCGACATCCGCCCCCCCTGCGGCGGCTCGGGCGCCGGCGCCGCCGTCGGTGCGACGATGGCGACGACGACGACAACGAAGACGACGGCGACGACGACCAAGGCGGGCCCAGATGCCCCCAAGTCTTCCAGGAGTAAAGCTCCGACCTCCCTCCTGGAGTGTCCTCTTCGCCCAGATTGTTGCCTGCGCCGCGACCCGAGTGGCGCGAACGCGAGGAATGGTGCCGCCGACGTCATCGAAACAGAAGTGTCACTAGCGTTCCCTTGGTCGAGTCTGGGCTCTCTCTCTTCCCCCGTTCTGGGAGGTCCTGGAGAGTCACCGGGGAGGAGGCGGACCGTCCCGCGCAGGGCCCTGGGCCAGGAGCCCCCCGAGACTGACAAGGAGCGGGGGGAATTTGGGTAGGTTTTCGATTATTCCCCTCCTCCTCCTCCTCCTCCTCCTCCTCCTCCTCCTCCCCCTCCTCCTCCTCCTCCTCCTCCTGCCGCCGAGCAAATGGCAAATAGCAAATAAAGATATCGTTCAAGAAACCTGGACCAGCTTCCTGGAGGTCTCGTCAGACAAACCTGGGCCAATGCTCTTTTTTTCACGCTGGGAGGGCGAGCGTGTGAACGAGAAACTGAAAGCAAGCCTTCTGGTTCCAGCACGCAGGTCCAGAAACGCTGGCCTAACTCTTGGGGAGGAGGCTTCCCAATCAGAAGCTACCGTGGGTCTGCTTTAGAGCTTTTTGGCGTGTTCGAGACCTTGTTGAGAGTTTTGGAAGCCATCTTGTGTATCTTTGAAAAGTTGGGGGTGCAGTTGGAGGCTGCGGGAGCCCAGGAGTTGCGTTGATGAGCTCTTCACGCACCCCCCTTCAAGCGGGATGTTGGACCTCGAAAGAGAGAGAACCAGGAGAGGGGCAACAGACAAGTGCCTCCCCGGCCCAACTTTTGAGGTCGTGGGCGGATAACACAGATCAGATCCGTATCCACGGCCTCGCGGGGCGGAGCCTTGGGTTGCGATCTCGCGGACACGCGGCGTTTTTTTTTTTTTTTTGTTCCGCGGATGCCCCGCGCGGGACGTGTCCGTGCGACCGTGCATCCACGGGATCGCGCCCCTGAATCCAGACCACGAGGGCGTGGATGCTGATATGTTCGCCGCTCGTGAGGATGTCTGGGGGGTATAGAGGGTTCTACAATGCTCGAGGGGGCTCGAAGGGCCAGCCAAAATGCTCCTCGACCGCGTGAACGGAGGTACCGACACAAACGCACACACAGACACACACACACTCTCACACACTCACGGGGTTCTCGTTTCCTCTGTTCTGGACGCTTTCTCCGTTAGGCTTTAGTCTTCCGGAGTACGAAACTGAAACTGATGAGGAGCGGGACGAGGAGGAGGAGGCGGAGGACGACAAGACCTCCTTCAGGAGGCGGTCAGAGGATACGTCCTGGTGACACCACTGGGTCACGGATGCGGTGACAGCAGTGGACCAGACGACGACCACGATGGCGGAGGCAGACTCCTCAGGCTCAGCGAGGAGGAGGATCATGTTGGGGGGGAGGGGGAAGGAGAACGAGAGAGAGAGAGAGAAGGGAGGGTGATGAGGTCGAGGAGGAAGTAGAAGGTGGTGGGTGATGAGGAGTCACCACTTGGAGTGCTGGAAACTCAAACAGCACAGGCTCCACAACGTTCGCCTAAATCGTGGGGCACTAATACAGCACCATGCGCATACCATCCTCGTCATCCTCTCCCTCGTCCTCCTTCCCCACCTCCTCCAGCAATGAGATGGCCAGTCCTCCTCACGCTCGTTCCCCTCGTGCTTCTGCTCCTCTCATCGTCGTCTTGCTCCTCCCTCTCCTGCTCTTCCAGTGGCGCAATAGCCAGCCCCCTCCTCCTCCTCCTCCCCCTCCTCCTCCTCCTCCTCCTCCTCATCCCCTCCTCCTCCTCCTCGGCCTCGGCAGCGTGGTGAGGTCTGGCATGAGCGCGCAAGGCGATGGAGATTCGGGGAAGCGTGCGGTATCGACTTCTGAATAATCCGCGCTCGCGCGGCAAGACCGACACGCGATAGGCAGCTGTTGGTTCCGCGCCGCTGGGCCCCGAGCCCTGTCCAGTGGCGCTCGGTGCACCTGCGCAGCCCGCCTCCATTTGATGTTCGGAGCAGGGCGAGACGTCAACTCAGAATTGGTCCCGGACACCCCCCGCGGTCCAGACGCACAGACTTTCGAGCTGCGTCCAGCTGTGGCGACTGGCGACGAAGGGGTCCCCCGAAGGCCGACTACCCGACTACCGTTATCTCACCTCGGCCTCCACTGATCCATGTCCCCCGCGCCTCCTGAATCCCTGGTCCTGGCTGCGGCCGGGTGGGCCATTCCCGCGACCCCCCTCGGAAAATAATAGATCGCTTTGGAAACCTCTGTTTTTGAAGAGGGTCCTTGCGGCACGGATGGGCGATGAGCAAGTAAGAGGTTCGCAAATCGAAGCCCATACGCTCGATAACCCGAAACACATGACTTTGATAATGAATGTGACATGGAAAAACGTCGGCACCTGCCCATGCATGCATCCCGTCCTACTGTTCTCCTGCCTAGAAGTCGTCGATCCCGTTCCCGTGCCCGTGCTCTCATTGCCGTCCCCCTCCTCGGCGTCCGCCGCTCATACATTTACTTCCCTTGGGCTCGGCTTTGGGCGCCAGGAGGCCCCAGAAACGCATGGCATCTACAGTAGGCACATACGAGAAGACATCTTGCTGCAAGAGACCTGAAGGCACGATTGTCACCGAGCTTTGAGATTCCTGATGTGCCCCAGAGCGTGGGGGCTCTAACTCGGCTCTCCAGCGGCCGTTCGGGACGATCCGGGTACCCCCAGAATGCTCTCGTCGAGGCGCAACTGCGAGAGTACCCTGGGGCTGGGAAACCGCCGAGAGCCGACAGGAACGCCCGAAAACCTTGAAGCTCGAAACGTCGTCCTCCCTGGGCCTATCCCCCCCAGCGCCTAGCGCTGCCCCTGAAGGAAACTTCCGGGGGGGGCCCTCCAGGCAGGTTCGTCACTTACTTGACGTGCCCGCTGCACGCGCGAGCACGAGGGGGAGGCTCCACACCGTCGCCCCTGCGACCCGCGCACCTGCGCCCAGAAGAGGAAAATATCACAAGCGGGCAGATCCCGCCTGGCGTGGGCAGAGGGTGGAGGGCAAAACGAAATGCAGGAGCCAGGAAAGGAGGAGCAGGAGGGAGGGGAGGGGAGGAGGACGAGGAGGAGAAGGAGGAGGAGGAGGAGGAGGAGGAGGAGGAAGATGAAGAAGAGGAAGATGATGAAAAAAAAAAAGAAGAAGGGGAGTGGGGGAGGATGAGGAGAGGAGGAGGAGGAGGAGGAGGAGGAGGAGGAGGAGTAGGAGGAGGAGGAGGAGGAGGAGGAGGAGGAGAGGAGGAGGAGGAGAGGAGGAGGAGGAGGAGGAGGAGGAGGAGGAGGGAGGAGGAGGAGGAGGAGGAGAAGGGAGGAAGGGAGGAGGAGGAGGGGGAGGAGGAGGGAGAGAGGAGGGAGGAGGAAGGAATACTAAGAAGAAGGATAAGAAGAAGAAGAAGAGAAGAAGAAGAAGAAGAAAGAGGGAGGAGGGGGGGGACGAGGAGGACGAGGGAAGGAGGGGTGGAGGAGGTGGAGGAGGAGGAGGAGGAGTCGGAGGAGAGACGAGGAGGAGAAGGAGGAGGAGGAGGAGGAAGATGAAGAAGAGGAAGATGATGAAGAATAACAAACAGAAGAAGGAGAGTGGGGGGGGAGGAGGGAGGGAGGAGGAGGAGGAGGAAGGACGAGGTGGATGAGGATGAGGATAAGGAGGAGGAGAAGGAGGAGGAGGAGGAATACTAAGAAGAAGGAGAAAACGAAGAAGTAGAAGAAGAAGAAGAAGAAGAAGAAGAGGGAGAAGGAGGAGGACAAGGAGGACGAGGGGAAGGAGGGGCGGAGGAGGTGGAGGAGGAGGAGGAGGCGGAGGAGGACGAGCAGGTGGACGAAGGAGGGCGGAGGGAGGAGGGCGGAGACGGAGGAGGAGGAGGAGAAGGAGGAGGAGGACCAGGAGGAGGAGAAGGATGAGGAGGTGGACGAAGGAGGGCGGAGGGAGGAGGGCGGAGGCGGAGAAGGATCTCCGACTGCTTCGGCCGCGACCGTGACGCACCTGGCTTCACTCCCCCCCGCGAGGCCGTCCCCTCCTCTAGGCCTCGGCGCGCGCCACCTTGCCCTGCCGCAAGGGTGTAGCCACTGTGTCGAGGCGCCGGTGCTTTTGCGAGGCCTTCGGCGCGGGGGGGAGGAGAAGAAAGGGGAGGAGGAGGAGGAGGAGGAGGACGAGGAGGATGGAAGAGAACGGGAGGAGGAGGAGGCGGGGGAGGAGGAGGGGAGGAGGAGGAGGAGGAGGAGAGGGAGGAGGTGGGAGGAGGAGGAGGAGGAGGAGACGAGGAGGGATGAGAAAAAGAGGGCCCCTCCTCCTGCTCCTCCTGCTCCTCCTCCTCCCTCCTTTTTGTTCCTCTTCTTCCTCCTCCCCCTCCCCCTCCTCTCCCTCCTCCTTCCC